ATTGTGCAGAATGAATTTTGAAGTGAATATTTAATAATTACAAAGATCATGGAACAAAACAAACATTGTGAACTGATTAAAAGTTAATTGGATGATTTTTTTTTAATTTCATTTTAAGAAGGCTCAATTTAACATAATAATGCTGACATATTCCAGAGAGAAACAAAACAATTGTTTCTATAATATGTTTGGCTTCTTTTAACACTATTAGATAATTAGACATCTAGTCAGTCAAGGTTTTTCGTTTCTTTTTTTCTCTGGGGTGGAGTTCAAAGACTCCGTTTATTCCAATTCATCTCTGCATATCACAACAAAGAACAGATAACTAACAAACAAAATAAAGCAAAAAAAAAAAAAACTTCAAACAAACAATTAAGAGCTAATGGAAAAAAAATAGAAAACAATTAATATACCAATATAAACCTCATAAAACTGGAAACATATCAACAGAAAACGTTAAGGCATAACATTTATAAGTAAACAAAATTCAAAACAAAAAACAAAAGTTATTTAGCAAATAGAAACATCAAAAGACAATAGACACAGATACACATGCAAAAATTACATCTAGGCGTGTCACCTTTTTCTGTGGTCGATCCCTATATGTTTGTGTTCCATAAAAAAGTCACATTTTGTGCTTTTTAAAGATCACCTTTGACCTCATTCACATCCAGCAAGAATTGGAGCTATTTCTGGTATAGCAGCTGCATTGTAGCCATAGACAAGCCAAATTTACAATAAACTTAAGACGACTAGAATTAAGCCTAAGGGCCAAATCGTCCTGATATTTCATTGAAATTTCCAGATATTTCTTGAGAAAGGTAAACGATGATTGTGAACATTTAGCCCTATAATTCCAACATGTTTTTATCCAGAATGGCTTAAGAAGCATAATGAACATTTATAAAGCACCAAAATTTGCCGAAAAAATACACTCAAGGTGCTTTACAAAATTAAAAAATAAACCATTATTATAATAATTAATTAAGAAACAAAATTGTACTTAACGTAACAAGGTGTGAAAATATCAATACAAAGAATTAAGATGTCAAAAGATAAAAATAGTAAACAAAAATGCTGAATGAACACACAACTCACTAAACGCAACAAAACATGAAAAATGCACTACAACAAAATCAACATATACCCCCTTAAAAATAAAAAAACTGCAATTTTTACAGAAAGGAATCATATAGGAAAAAATATATAAGTATCCAAATTAAAAACATCCATTATATACACATATAAAATTATACAAACACACATGCAAATTACCAATAAAAACCCATAAAGACCTTGAACGAAAGAATTGATGATATAACAGAAACAAGCAATTTTTGTGTGATCGCATGCCAATGACAAATCCAATACATTTTTGAAGAAACTTATCATTCTATTGAAGCTACAGATTGATCTGCACTGATAGAATATTGTTTCATACAAAAGGAAAAATGATCACTGCATTCTGAAAGAACAGGTATTACAATGTGTTTTACAACAGACCAAAAGTATTTGACTGGACCACACAGAATGTGCATGAATGTGTGTTTTAGTAAGTGATGCCACTGTACCATATTATGAGCATAAATTTTGTCGGGTGCCAGGAAGAAGGTCGTAAGTTGGTCAAAAGATCAAATTCAGGTATTTCGGGTAATCTTTAAAGCTTGGAAATATCTTTCATTTGATATATATTGTCTCAAGGGGCTACGTCATTCTGATGTAATTAACAGTAAACAAACGACGGAAGGAGGTTTTTCATTATTTGTGCCCAGCAAAAGGTCGTAAGCGTGTAATTGTAATGTAACAAAACAAGTTTGAAGCGTGCTAATGTCCCACCTAGATGGGTACACAAAGCCAGGTTTGTTCCCAGCAAAGGGGCGTTAGGATTTAACATGCCCCTTCAGTGCACGTTTAATGCAGGGCGAGTTCACGTTTTAGGCAGATGGAGTTCCCAGTAAAAGGTTGAAAGCGGATCAATTTAAATAACTTCAAAATTAAGTAATATTTTGAAATAAAAATATTCAATATGATTTTCAATATTAAATACTTTCATGGGCCCAAATTTCAGCCTGATGTGATTTTTCATTTAGAAATGGAAGCACAAAACCTTTCAACTCGATTATCTCCAAAAGTGCGTTTTGCGTGCCTGGGCTGCTTACATCATTTTCCTTGGCACACAACGATTTCAAGATGGCAGCACCCCATGCAGGGGGTCATAGCCAGGTCAACTTATTCCACTTCTCCAAACCACTACCTCCATCTTGGGGTGGGGGAAACTCAAACGAGACCGAGAACAGATTCAAAGGCGGGGACAAATCGAGCGAGGTCTTGTAGACTGGATTGAACAAGTTGATGGTGGACTTTGCTGCGGCCCCGCCCACTGCCCCGCCCACATCAGCATAACAATTATTATCACTGTCACTGATGGTGGACTCTGCTATGGCCCCACCCACTGCCCCGCCCTCAGCAGCATAACAATTGTCATCACTGGCGTCGATGGTAAACTCTGTTATGACCCCACCCACTGCCCTGCCCACAGCAGCGTAACTATTGTTATCACTGGCATTGATGGTGGACTCTGCTGTGGCCCCACCCACTGCCCCACCCACAGCAGCATAACATTTGTCATCACTGGCATTGATGGTGGACTCTGCTGTGGCCCCACCCACTGCCCCGCCCACAGCAGCATATCATTTGTCATCACTGGCATTGATGGTGGACTCTGCTGTGACCCCGCCCACTGCCCAGCCCACAGCAGCATAACAATTGTCATGGCATTGATAGTGGACTCTGCTGTGGCCCCGCCTGCTACCCTGCCCACAGCAGCATAACATTTGTCATCACTGGCACTGATGGTGGACTCTGCTGTGACCCCGCCCACTGCCCAGCCCACAGCAGCATAACAATTGTCATGGCATTGATAGTGGACTCTGCTGTGGCTCCGCCTGCTACCCTGCCCACAGCAGCATAACATTTGTCATCACTGCAGGGGTTGCCCTTAACTTTTTTTTTGACTGGCCAGCCGGACCAGTTGGCTAGAATTTTGACTGGTCCGCCAGGTTTTTGACTGGTCCGTCTTATACAGCGTGTACCCACCAGTTAATCAGTTTCACATAAGTCATAACAAGACTATTGTCATCAACACCCATGTCATCATGTCACCTGAGCAATAGAGGTCTATTTTCTTCCCCCATGATCTGAGGCCGCAAAAAAATATATAGTTCTGCCTCAGATTACATGCCTTTTAAAAATAGGGTCGGTTGGTCGGATTTTTGGGTTTTTGGGGGGCCATTTTTTTTATGCCGCTTGAATGGGGTATTCAATTAGGCCTCAGTATGCGAAGTTTTAGCCTGATTTTATTTTTATTGCACTATGAAAGCTATACACAAAAAAAAATAGTTCTGCTTCCGATTACATGCCTTTCAAAAATAGGGTCGGTCGGTCGGAAATTCTTCTCTTTTTTGCCAATTTTTTTATGCAGATTGAATGGGGTATTCAATTATATGCGAAGTTTTAGCCTGAACTAGTTTCATTGCACTACGAAAGCTATACACGAAATGGCAACAAAAAGTGAATAAAACCAAAGGCTTTAATTTTTGTTAATATATTTACGCTCGATAATTTCAAAAAATAATGGAAAATTCAGGTCGTTCGCACCATATGCACAATGCTAGTCAAGACGCGGGGAGCTGGCCGAAACTCCGAGGTGTGTGATGCGTGCATGTGTGGTGAGCGGCCCACCATGGGCCGACAGACCCAGTGGCGTCACCAGACTTTTCAGTCTGGGGGGGCACAGGGGGGGGGGGGCACCAGCATTTGATGGGGGGGGGGCACTTAGGTGGATACGGATCGCCGTCCTGGGGGAGGGGTCTAAGCCCCCTCCCCTTTGGAAAATTTTCGCATACGGAGGATTGGCTAGATGCAAAATGGTGCCACATTTGATGCTAAATTCGATCTGAAGATATCTCCAGAAATTGCTATTTTCGAGGTAATGATTTTAACAACGCGCAAATTTTTTTTTTACCAACCAAAATCTCAGATGGGGGGGCACTCGGGGGGGCACTAGGTTTTCCAGGGGGGGCACGTGCCCCCCCTGGCCCCCCCTTGGCGACGCCACTGGACAGACCCGTTTTTACCGTCAAAAATTTCGGGAAACACGGGGCATGTATCACTCCAAATACGAGTAGTGCGATCTCAAAATGAACTCATGAACACAGAAAATACATACACAGATAAGCTTGATCAATTTTGTAAATTAACTTGCAAAAATGTTCTTTCTCCATCGGTGTTTTCTTGGCATTTTTACGATGTCGAATCCGACCAGTTGACAGAGCACGTGCCTGGCGTCTGCACAATGCATAGCCATGCTAGTGCTGTCAATCGCTACTCCTAGAACTAAAGTATGAGGCTCCACGTAGTGGAGCCTCATAGATTAAGAACCCCGCAAAATTGTTTTCAGCACAAAACACTAATCAAGTACAAAAACGTCCATCAAAATGCAGAAATTTCCAACAGAACCGCTGCACAGTTTGCCCCCAAACTCCGTACTACACCTCATGACATACTCACAAATTATGCGCAGAACAAATATCGCTGGATTTTGTCTTTTTGGGGGCTAAAATGATGAAAAATATGCCCTTTCCGCACTGAGCCAACCTGACACTTGAAACGTGCACGATGATTTTCGGTTCGCTCGGAGCGCGCCGCGGGGGGTACGGTACAAGCGAAATGATAGTATGCGCATGCGTACAAGTGCTTGTACCGTACCCCCCGCGGCGCGCTCCGAGCGAACTGAAAATCATCCTGCACGTTTCAAGTAGCTCAGTCCGGAAAGGGCATATTTTTCATCATTTTAGCCCCAAAAAAGACAAAATCCAGCGATGTTTGTTCTGCGCATATTTTGTGAGTATGTCATGAGATGTGGTACGGAGTTTAGGGGCAAACTGTGGAGCGGTTCTTTGGGAAATTTCTGCATTTTGATGGGACGTTTTTGTACTTAATTAGTGTTTTGTGCTGAAAACAATTTTGCGGGGTTCTTAATCTATGAGGCTCTAGGAGTAATCGATCGCATAGCCGTGCACAGACTAGTTACCGCATTTTCATCGTGTCTTTTAAATTGGCGCGGCGGGAACCAGTCATCGCCGCATTGAGCTGGGTTTACGCACATGATGAAAGTCACCGTGACATCGAGTTGCGAAGTAGTCATATCGCGAAGCGAATTTGTAAAAATAACGGAGGTTTCTTTTGAAAAAAATAGCGAATGTAAGTAAGAAACCAAATAAATACAACAACCATTTTTTTGACGCAGATTTATTTGGCTGGCCAGCCGGACCACTTGGCAAGGTGTTTCAGCTGGTCCGCCGGCAATTCAACTGGCATTTGGCCAGCGGACCACCGCTAAGGTCGAACCCTGCACTGGTACTGATGGTGGACTCTACTGTGGCCCCGCCCACGGCAGTGAAACAATTTTCATCACTGGCGTTGCCGGGCCGATCCTGGGAGCACTGGTTTGGGGGGTGGGGAGGGGGGATAGTCATCTGGTAGGAGGACTGGCTCCTTGTCCTCTTACCCTTGACCTTTCTGATGACCAGAGTGATGAGGATGATGACAATAATGAGGAGGACTAAGCAGCGGTAACGGCAATCACTGCAATCATCAGTCCATTTGCCAGGCCTAAAACAATAACATGTAATATGTTATAAATTATATTTTTAGCTTTGCATTTTTTCGTTGACAATGCGTTGGAGAAGTTTTCATGGTCATTAGAGCCATTAGATCCAGAATTCCAAAATTGTATCGCTGCATTGCTGAGGAAGTGTCCAATTCTTGTTTTTTTTAATAATGTTGCACGGATTCCAAACGACCCAGGAATTAGTGCTGCATTCCCCACTTAAGTTCATGCATGTCAGTGAAATATGATATCCATGGGAATGTCACATGTACACCCAGATGCATAAATGTCAGGTGAATATGAATATTCATATCCTCCTGACTCATAGCCAATCAGAGTGCTCCATCCAATGTTGGTAGCACGTCCATGCCTTGTGTACAATGGGGTTGCAGATTATTCCAGTTGGTAATTGGAATCAACGTACACACATATGAGGTCAAGGATGCAGGTATCGTTCCTGCGTGTTATTATACCATGCACTTCACATAACCCCAGGACGTTATGTGGTAGTCAACGCCGGGACGTTATGAGGTAGTCAACGCTGCTGGTACAGTACGGTGTGCTATGTGGCAGGCGGACCAAACCCGGCCAATATTACAGACTTGACTGAAGTCTAGGCTATGAGATTGGCCCATTATACCTGAGTGAGTTCTGTAGCTGCATATGGTTCCTTCAATGCTTGACAGCTCCAAGGCAAAGCGCATGTGTTGCATCCTGGCCATGGCTTCCTGAAATGTTAAGAAAGAAAACCATACATAAAAGATCAACATCTATGATTAAGCAACTTTGGCAATCAAACCATCATACTAGGCTGCAGCACACAGACAAATTGTGGCAATTCTTGAAAGGACATTTGTGATGAAATTAGTTTATGAACACATTTTGTGCAATTTTTTATTCCTCTTTAATGAATTATCTATTTCGCATTCCTTTTTATTGAAAAATGCACTTCTTATAAGCATTTCACAAAATTCCTCGCTCATTGAAATCATTTGTGGGAAAGGTTTGCTCATTGGCTTACTGCCATGTACTGACACAACAAATCACCAAAGAAATCACCAAAGAAAAGAAAATTTATGCCAGCAAACTTTCCAAAATTCTAGCAACTTCTTGTGCTGAAATAGATGTAACATTGAGGTATCCGCCCAGAATGACATCACAGTTTTGCTCATGAATATGGAATTTTGCATTAACATAAAAACAAAGAACACCAAAATACCCTTGAAAATATCTTGGAATAACGAAAATTGAAAATAAGGAAGGACACAAAGGTGCATTATCAAGGACTGCATTAAAAAGAATTCCATTGCATGGCGGGTCCTTTCAAAAGTTTCTTCTTTTCTAAGGATTCTATGCACTACTCTTCTGCTGTAAGCCATGCACCTAAATAAACCTATGCGCTTGTGGATATTAATGAAAAGGAGTAAGCATACTCTGTGTGAGGACCAGTGTGTAAATTACATACCGTGTGAGGACTACAAGACTATGTATTAAAGTCCTCAATCTGTTGTTGAGAACAGTTCTCGCATGTACAGTTCTCGCATGTGTGTTTGTGTGCTTCGTCTATGGGAGAATTAAAGGTAGAGTACCGTAATTTTCGGAATATAAGCCGCGCGGCGTATAAGCCGCAGCACGCAAAAATCTGCAAATTAAGATTTGAAGTCGGCGTATAAGCCGCACCGGCGTATAAGCCGCACCGACCGCTGCGGTTTCAATTTTGTAAGGCCTCCAAATTTTAGTTTGGTAGATCATTTGCGGCTATCCAAAAAGTAACTGACAAAATTATTGTTGAAAGCTTACTTGGTTTAAATATAGTAATGGCGATAAACTCCCTGTGAAAGTATTCTTTCTAGCATGCTGTCATTTTCAGAAAACAGTAAAAGGCGGCAATTTCCAAAGAAACATCAAGTAAGTAGTAAGGTTTGTAATTTGAAGAATCTGTGAACGGGTGCGTGCAAGCACTGACATGTCACACAAGCACGCGCCATTGCTAACTATTATTTATCGGTTCGTTGCGTGGCATCGCATAGCTGCAATCAGCTGAATGAGAACATGTCCCGGATGCTGATTTTGGGCGCAATTCAAAACGTGACTCTGCAACTTTGTTAAACATCTGCATATTTTGAGCACTTTTGTAGCATTAAGCAAAAAAAGTGCCTCAATGACAGGACCTCTCTTACCCTTATGACTCTACGCCCCGCCCTTTTTGAGCACCCATATACCGATTTCAAATAGTCTTAGACTGACACCACATTACTGCTGTTGTGTTAGTACCTGTTCATCAGTCTGTGATGTGTAGAGGTGGGCGTGGCTCTCCCCAATCTCAGCATTCATCTCAGCAATGGACCAATCAGCCTATGGAGGGCACAAAATATGAATGAATATTCAAATTGAGTGATGCATGCACTGAACTGGGATGCAATAAAAGAGAAAGCCTTAAAAATGTGAGTTTTGGAAATTTTGTAACAAAGCACTGCTGATGCTGAATCACTGAAAAAAAAAAAGTAACAAGTTTTGTTATGATGAATACAATTTAAATGATATATGCAAGAGTAGTGCTGTTGAATGCTATTGATATGCATGTAAAACACCAACCGCATACTAGCTAAAAATGTTGATAAATATTAAGAAAGTCAAGGAAAATAAAACCCACAACAAAACAAAACTACGTTCCAAAACTAAGTACTGTCAGTTCATTTTTTACCTCTTTATTTTTGTTTATTTTTCTTCTACACAGCAGACTTGAGTATCCATGGTTTCAATCAGAGGGGAAGGCGGGACAAGTCCCCCCTCCCAACTTTTTTAAAGTCAGGGGATATCATATCGTTTGTGTCCCCCCCCCCCCCCCCCCACACACACACTTTTTTAGCCTCCAAATTAAAATTGTTGCCAACATAATGATTCTATAGCTCACATTAGCTGATGACTCAAAACTGTAAAGGTCTATCACCGAGTGTAAGGACAGATTAATTAAACTGGGGCTATCCATGCAGTGTATCCACCAACCACTTTCATCAGATATTGAACGTTGTTATCAATGAAAAATAACTTCAAAGTTCATTCCCTCAAAAAACATTCGACCATACTGTGTATTTGGTTTATTTCTAAGGTCTTTGGTCTCTGTATGTGTTGACTCTAATACCTCAACCACTTCCCCTTTGGAAAATCTTTGACTTCAACACCCAGCCTACTTCCTATAAAATCTTAGATCTGGTGGTCTAATATGAGAGCAAAGGAATGACCCTTCACATTGTTTGCAAATAGCACAGTGCACATTTTTAAAGAACTACAAATGAGAGGGAAAGTATTACCAATGAGAGGGAAAGTATTATCCATGAGAGGGAAAGTATTACCAATGAGAGAGAAAGTATAACCACGAAAGGCAATTTAGTTCAATTTTCTCAGATTTGTCTCAGCAAATACGAAGTCAATGCATGATGTGTTTCCAAGTACCCTGCTCCTGTATAAAATGTAAATATTTACTTAAATTTTTTTATTCGAATTTTCAAGTATTGTGAAAACTGTTTAGTTTAAATGAATGGAACTGTTTTTCCAATGAGAAAGATTTTGCACATCCATGTACCTGTGACAAAAGTAAATTATCCCAAAGCAACTGGATGAAATGTGTGTGATTTTGAACTAAAGTGATAGTTTAAAAGTAAATCATATGCAATACCTTGGTTGTCTCTTTCACAGTGCTTTCTGCGTGCCTCATCAAATTAATATTAGTTTCATTACATTTACAACCAAATTGAAAATGAAAACCTTGTGCATTCTACTGAAATGATACATGGATGTTTGTAAATGCAGTTAGTATGATGGATGTACATTTGTAAACTGAATTTTTTTTTTTTTTTGCCTTTCTTAATTTTTTTTTTTATAAACTTTTAAATACTTCAATAGAAGATGCACTTGGAACATTCTATGAATTTGGGGTCCACTTTTTCCTGTCCCTATACGTCTGACATGTACGATTTTGTAATTGAAGATGCACTCCTTTATGTGTGTACTCTTTCGTCCAAGAATGCTTCTGTGAATCAAATGACCTACTCAACAAATATTAATTAGTTTGAAGTCATTTTTAATGGCACTTGAATGGCAAATGATAATTTCGGATGTGCAGGGACAGGAAAATGTCAGCCTTTGGATCTTAATTGTATAGAATGACCTAGTTGTGAGAGGTTCCGTATCATTACAATAATAGTTTAGTTTATTCCATAAAGGATTGATGCTTTTGCTTCTTTGAATGAGTATTGGTTAGCTAATTAATGCTGATAGACCAAGAAGTCTAAATGAAGCAATGAGCATATGCTTTAATTACAGAATATTTCTCCAAGAGAACGCAGCTTCCATGACAACAATGGCATTTCAGCTAAGACCCAAAGTCTGTTATTTACCAATCAGCATCTCACATACGTTTCAGCTGCATTTTCCACTGGGCATGTGTGACTCCTAGTGTTATTTGCATACATAATGAGGGCTGCTTATTTTACACCGATGAAGCGACTCAAAAAGATATATTTGTATTTTATCATTTATAGACCACTTAATTTGGAAGCCGTTGTTATTGTATCACTAGTTAGTTCATTCACTGTATATTTTGTCGAAGATATTTTAAAAACGTTTTCTGAGAACATATCAACAATGATTTCATGAAACAACTGTCTTTTCTCAGTTGTTGTTTGTTTACATTTAGGACCATTTTGTTTTCGACAAAAACATAACATCAGTGGTTTCCCCAACATTTATACTTGTACATAATGGTAGAGGGAATTATCAAGTAATCAGATTTGTGAGCACATTTTATCTTGTTTTTTTTATCTCCTGATTGACCGCATTTGAATATTGTCAACATGCTCTCAAAATATATGGAGTATGTAACTATGATCTTAGAAAATTAGTCAGGCTTGTCAGTCAGGCTAGTCATTCAACACTGTTTAGTCAGCTTTGAAAATTCTTCTTTTTTATCAAAAAAAAAATGTAGTAAAAACAAATCTTTTGTATGTTAAAGATCGCCTCATGGGGTTTTATGTTCAGTATTTTATTGTCCTGTGAAAACTTCAAATGTTTAGAAATCCTAAGCGAAAAAGTGACGCATGAATGATCAAAATTTGTTGGCACCTTAGCAACCACTTTACAAGGGAAAAATCAGAGCATGGAATTGTTTTTCCAAACTGAATGTCTAGCAATAGCATTTTTAGGGCATGCTTATACAAACAATATTGAAAGTAAATATTTCTTTAAATCATGGGCGTAAAGACAGTTGAACTTGACATCTAAAAGTGGAAGAACTGTGGCGTATGGTTGCCGAGGGTGCAGTCAAGTACCCACCACACCTATAGATAACTTATAAATATCACACATTCTATGGGAGTAAAAAGTATGTGATCTGGAACTTCCTAAAGGTACCAGCGGCGTAACTAGGGTTAAGCTTCTAGGGGGCACCTCAGGGTTCATTAAATTTTTTTGAAGGGGGGGGGGGAGCAAGAAAGGTAACATATAATATTTGTTGTGTTCAATTCAAGATTTCAAATGGAGTGGGGGGGGGGGAGGAGAGACACGTGGACCATAGTTACTCCAATGAAAGGTATAAAGAAATAAGAATTGTAACGTCACATCAAGTTTTAACAGTCCCTTACATATTTACAATTAAACTAGTTACGAACCAATAAAAGGTGTGAATGGTAGCAACCTATTTAACGGCCTAATGTTGCAGTCCACTTTTTTTTTAATGAATTGAAATACAAAATGGTTTAGTAAGAATGAAGCCATAACACTAGTCTGAGTATCACCCATTGTATCACCCTCTCTGTCTCTGGTCCAAGGTCTGATATATCTAAGCATGCAAATGTATGTGACCCCGCGTGCCAGCCATGAGTTGACGTGACATCATTTCATTCCTAAATCTGGACTTAGCTGTTGATTGGTCAATTTTGATGCCATGTTTTTGTAATACAACAACGGACATAGAGATCTAATAAAACCTGACATTGGCTTTCAAAACAGGAACGCTGACCGTGGGTGAAACTTGAATGCACAAGAGGGCATTCTCATTACGTCTGTTATTCAAAATACTATATGATGATAATTCAAAGTCACAGGATGTTTGGGCATCGCGTAACGTATCGATACAGTCTGCTTGACGTAGGCTATTTTTGCTAACATAATTTACAACGTAAAAGCATAGTATATGTCGTGTCTAGGTTTTATTAGATGTACATGACAACGGGTTACCGAATTAGACCCGATATAGAAGGCGCCCGCTGAATTGTCAGAATATCGAGATCAAGACACAGTCTTGTTTTGCATTAATTACTTGCCGAATCTGCTTGCATATCATAGACCCTTGCTATGCATGAGGATATTCCATGGACTACCTTAGCACCCATCCCCCTACAATTAAGAAAAATAACAGCGTTGCTGTTGAAACCCCTCAGCCGGAGTCAAGTTATCATCCGGAAACCATGGTGACCTCGACCTTTGACCCCAGAACCAATCCCAACATGCCATGTACCAATGGGAAACCCCCTACTGAAGATAGACCCCAAAATTTCATGTCTAACTCAAGTTATCATTCGGAACCATTTACATTTAACTCACCACGGTGACCTTGACCTTTGGCCTTTGACCTTTTGACCCCAAAACCAATCCCAACTTGCCTGTACCCAAGGGCAACCCCCTACCAAAGTTAGATATCAAAATCTCATTTCTAACTCAAGTTATCATCCGGAAACTATTTACATTTAACTCACCATGGTGACCTTGACCTTTGACCTTTTGACCCCAAAACCAATCCCAACTTGCCTACTCCCAAGGGCAACCCCCTACCAAAGTTAGACATCAAAATCTCATTTCTAACTCAAGTTATCATCCGGAAACCATTTACCTTTAACTCACCATGGTGACCTTGACCTTTGACCTTTTGACCTCAAAACCAATCCCAACTTGCCTACTCTCAAGGGCAACCCTCTACCAAAGTTAGACACCAAAATCTCATTTCTAACTCAAGTTATCATCCGGAAACCATTAACCTTTAACTCACCATGGTGACCTTGACCTTTGACCTTTTGAACTCAAAACCAATCCCAACTTGTCTACTCCTAAGGGCAACGCCCTACCGAAGTTACAACCCCAAACAACATTTCTAACTCAAGTTATCATCCGGAAACTAAGCTACCTGGACGCAGTGACGGACGGACAGACACACATACGGACGGACGCCCTAGGCGATGACAATACCCCTCGAGCCTCTCGGCTGAGGGGTAACAATCCACAATGCAGTGTGAGTGTGCCAACAAGTGTTTGCCTCAAGAGGCCACTTTTCAACTTGACGGTCTATTTAAACTTATACTAACTTCTACAAAATGAACTTACCTGTACATGGAAGAACATTGGGGAATCTGTTCTTGTTTTTGCAGACAGGTTTCTTGGCTTCCTCACAGTTGACTGCCACTGACATTTCATTTAGCACCTGAAGTTTAAAGTAAACAAATTGACAACACATGTTACAATACTTTTTCTCTTTCTAGCTCGGACTTCAATTACATTTGACAATTGTTGACTAATGTGATGTGGGAGCAGTGGTGTATCCAGAGGGGAGGGGGCACGGGAGGGGAGGGGGCAGGGGAGAGGATGGGGCGGGGGAGGGGATTGGGCAGGGGAGGGGATGGTGTGCACCTTGTCCCCTGCCCCCAGCAGCTTTTTTGAAAGATATTTTTTCAGTAACTATTTCCATAAATGGTTAGAGAGTTCCGACAGGAAAAAAAAAGAAACCAAGCTCCGAAACCATTACATTGAGCTGTGAAAATCGGCATATATTTTCCAGTATGCATAATAATAGTCAGTTTTGAAGAGCACCCCCCCCCCCCACCGGAGGCCAAGTGTTCGGGGATGTGCAGTGTGGTTTCCCCCCTGACATCAAATGCTGGATAGGCCACTGTGTGGGATATGACGTTTTTAACACCCAAGGGCTGCATTTGGCCTCGGGTGCTATGTACATGTATGGCCAACACATTACACACTGGGGCACAGGCTGCATTTTGCAGTCCATGTGCAGTACACACATCGCCCATAATGAACTCACTTTCGATGCGAGAAACCTTTAAAAGGATTATTTACATGTTTTTGTTTTCTTTGCAAGGTTGACACCAAAAGAAACAATGCTTGCTGGGGAATATATATTACTTGAAACACATTTTTCAAAAACTTTTAAAACTAAAGTCATCACAAATATCTCATATTGCGATCCCATATCAAATTTCTGCATTGCAATTATTCATGCACAGTATAGACATCTGTTTACAGTCTTCAAATAATCATGAAAATTCCTTTGGAAATGTGAACCCTAGAAATATCACATTTCCACGATACCATATAATGCTGTATGTTGGTTTAAATATTTCAGAATGGGACTGACAGGAATAACTAACTTATGATGTTCTATATGTTGTATTGTAATGGTGTCATGCATACATTGGCATATATTCCCTTTGCTATATAAACTTCATACAAATGTACAAACATGTACATGTAGGCCTACAGTTCAACATATTGCAAATGTGTTCAATTCATATTTCCGCTTCAGTGTAACACAGTGACTGGAACAGGCCCTTGGTAAATCTATTGTTACCAGAAACTGGGCCTTTGAAAGGGGCTCACAAAATAACAATATCTGTTGACTAGGCAATGCAAGTTCAACTGTGTGACCTGTGATCCATTGCAGTCTGGTGTATTTATAGAATTGGGAATTTACAGGCAGTGAGCAATGCTACACCCTACAGACATTCCAGTCAATCCAGAGAGTGAGAATCCACCAAATAGTCCACCAGTTTCTTCATCAAACTGCCAAATTGATTGCAGAAATATCTTCTGACATCATTCAGGTATGTTTAGTTGAGAATAAGCTTGACAAATGTAACCAGAATTGGCATAGGAATCTGTGCAGACATTTGACTAGCAATTTGTACATCAGTTTCCTTCTCTGATGCAGCATGAGCAGTGTGTTAAACCAGTCTGAAGTAGTTCATGAAAGCACGCAATGCAGAAACTTGAATTCATGCACATGCACCTACATGTACCAACCACGCTATCAATGGATAAGTCCTATTTTTTAGTTCATATATACGTAAAAAACTAACACTTTAGGCCAAAAAAAAAAGTCTCCGGTTCCTGGTATAGAGCTTGCCCCAAAAGTGGTGTGGCGACGCGGCTTTTTTTTTTTTTACCTGTTTTTTTTTTTGGGGGGGGGGCTTCAAATGTCGGCTGATGACTGCAAATGGTGCCCGACTAAACTTAGTGCAAATATATGGGAGTCCAGAGAGGCCACATAAAGCTTATTCTCGATCATAACCCCATCTAAAAACTCGTTAAAATTGTGCAGCAGCAGAATTCCAGTCAAACCAGTGAATTTGGCGGTTTTGAGACATCATCTTTCATTGAAAAAAAACTTTTCATTTTGCCAACGCGCATGGCTACGGCGACGCGCACGCATACCAGAAACCGCAGACTTTTTTTTTTGGCCTTACCGACTAGATTTTGTTCAAAACACATCATGTACAATGTAGGGGAGATGGGGGTTAGTTGGAACACGGGGTTAGTTGAAACAATGAATTTTTCTTGATCATCTTAATTAAATTTTATAAAATGTTGCCCTCAAGAGATGTCCCTTAGCAACAGCCATCTACCATATTGCCTGCAGCAACACTGCAACAATAGTGCTCAAGTGGGAAAGATAAGTTTGTTTTTTCACCTTTTGAGTAATTTTTTCACCATTCAAAAAATGTGTACTTTCTTAATGATGTTTATAGATAACAGTGACTAGTTTGGGGGTATTATATGCTCCAGTACTAAGCTACAAAATAAGGTTAAAAAGATATGTTATTGGAGCCCCTGTTTTGTAGAGTGAGCAAACAAATGTCACATGGGCCACTGGGGCTAGTTGGAACATTTTGATGGGGGCTAGTTGGAACATAATGATGATAATTGAGGAAATATTCTGACTTGGCAAACAATTTTGAAAGCACATAGACAGGTCACGTTGACCTTACCTCAATTTTATGCAAGCTTTTCATGTTATTTTTGGGGAGTTAAATTTCCCGTTTTGATGTTTTCTTTTTATGATCAGGCTTGTAGCTGACTCTTGCCTCGCAATTTTCCTGTGTTTTTTTGTCTTGATGCTGTTTGTGCCATTTCTTGCCAGTTTGTTAATTAAAAAAAATGTTAGGAGCCTCACCACTGCTTGGAACAATTATTTTACTTGAAACTCAAATATAAATGCAGTTTTTAAGTAATTGTAGTATACTTTCAGATTAACAGCATACCAAGTTCCAACTTACCCCATACCATGTTCCAACTAACCCCATAGGAGGGGTTAGTTGGAACGCATGTCGTAGTTGTGATCAAGATGGATTTTTTAAATAACCATCAACAATTCTGTGAATTTTATATGCTACATTTGCAACACACATGTGTATGTCGCGGGGTCTATTCCAGTCAGGAAAACCCCAATGATATAATCCAACCGGTTCAGTCGACAAAATAATCAAAGAAATAAAAATTTTCAGAAATAGGTGTATTTACAGTTCGAATTAAAAAGGAGTTTTAATTCAAATCACTCAAACACTCTTCAACTTGAAGTCAAAACACAATATAAACAAAGAGAATGGATATGTAAACAAAAATGAAAATGCACAGATTACAACAATTTATACAATGCAAGAAAAGGATAAGTTGTTCGCAGTTGCGTCTCCCATGGTCTTGTCCAGATCCAGCGATGACCAACGATTGGAATCCAGTCACGTCCACGAACGCGCGAGTACAAAGTTCACGAAAAGAACAAAGTTCACGGAACGAGAATTAAAACATCAGAGAAGAAGGGGAGATCCGGGGACGTCAAAGGACTGCAGCAGGCGGAAAACTAGCGACTGCAACTTCCGGAAGAACGCAACTCGTCAGGGGACGGCCAGGGGGTGTGATGAGATGAAAAGGTGACATGGAGGAAAGCGGAACAGAAAATCGTCACTCAGCTCCAGGACTGGTAGAAGAAGTAATAATGCACAGCTAGGTCTCGTCCTCGTCCAACATGACAAACGGCAGGAGAACCTGTGCCAGGAAAATGATGGGTTTACAAAATAATGAAAGTGTAACAGCGGTGATTCCAGTCCAGAGCAAGGAGAGTGATGTACTCTACACCAGAGCAAGAAAAGGAATCATAATTAACTAAATTATTTTATAAACAAGTCTATAAAAAATAACCAAAAGAGTATCAACTAAAAATATATTATAAACTAAACCTAAAAATAACTAGGTTCATCAGAAGAAGATCCATAAAATCCTTCTTAAAACCAAAACACTGAAACTATTCCCACAGTTCATTAATCTGGGCTCACACTGAGATAACCAAAACACAAGCCTAAGGCCAGTTCTTAAGAAAAGATAAACAACGAACACAGTGCGACCAGCCTACAACAGGTGGATAATGATAAAACAACAGTAAATTCTCGTGCATACGAAATGAGCAATCTACAGTGTACCCAAGGTCAACCAAAACTTTCACACATTCTGGCCTGGTCTGGACAGAGTCTTGCACACAAGATTTACAAGATAAGATCAGTGCTAGAATGTCTCAGATAACAGAGCGGCTGGACCCACACATGGTCAGGCTAGCTTAAAGTGGCAGAACTGTGACTAGTGACTGTGATAATACAAAAAATGTGTTGGCTAAATCATAGGCTAAATACACTTACAGTTAAAGGAGCAAACTATAAAACTCAAAGCTATAGCAATTAAACAAACCAATTCTTCCAATGAATGAATTTTCATAATTCAGAATTGGCACCATTCACACAAGAATCAAACATCTATTAAACTTCAAGTTATATCTGATCTAAATCTAAAGGGAATGCTCAACTAATCTAAAGAATAAAATAACTATTCAGCAATCAATAAGCAAGAAAAGTTCAAGTAAGTTTCAAAATGTTCAAGTAACCCTATGATGTGAAATCATAAATCAGCATCAACTTGAAAAGTTAAAAGCCATAGGTTGAACATATATCTACATCAACTTCACTCTTTCTAATTATCATTCAGAAACTCCAAACAGTCCAAATGAAATATAAATGAATCAGGTCATAAATTATCTTTCACGAAATAAACTGAATCCATGGACCATTGGAAGTGATCCACTCAAGATAACTTTCAAACAGAAGTCATAAAGATACATTCAAATATAGAGCAGAATATTGTAAAAACAGAATGAATTGGAATCAGACGCAATCACTATGTACAAAGGAAAGAACTCATTCAAATAAGTTTCATAGTGGAAAATAACTATCGACTCATCATCAAGCATGGAAGTTGAGAATGAAAAGTAAATATTCTCTGAAAATACTCAAAGACAAATATCAGTTCACTAATGAACTTATACTAGTGATAAATATATACTTAAATGAAGACAAATTTGGAAAACTTACCTGTGCCAGGAAAATGATGGGTTTACAAAATAATGAAAGTGTAACAGAGGTGATTCCAGTCCAGAGCAAGGAGAGTGATGTACTCTACACCAGAGCAAGGAAAGGAATGCCGCACCCGCGCACCAACAACCCATCACTCCAGGCCAGGCTGTTGCCCCCCACATTGTCTTACATAATACATGTGAACCATGCCTGACACAGGGCAACACCACAGAGGGTACAAGAAGAAGGAATTTGATGAGGCAGCATAACCACCTTGAAAACAATAGACTTGCTCTAGTCATACAACAAATTAAAATAATGGCAAATTTGGGGGGTATGACATGTATAAATAAATTGGCATAGTTGTTGTTTCTTGAAGAAAATCTGTTTGTGTTATGGATAGGTTTTTGTGAAAATCGTTCCAACTAACCCCCGTCTCCCCTACATGTACTTGCAAAATTGCTTCGATAGAGAGATTCAGCAGGCATTGTGTCAGACAGCTTTCATTGTAAGAGATCCTCTTTGGTTATTTAGATTTTTGTACCGCTCAACGAGTTGGAATCCTCTTGCATGCAGCAAACAATTTGAATAGTAAAAGTAAGGCGGTGGATGGTCACGGTGGGCGGTAACTGTGGGTGGAGCGTGGCAAGCAAAGCTTTTCATTGGCTGAAAAGTAAATGCCCATCATGCGTACGTTCAAAACGAATGAACACTATCTGTACTTCAGTTTCCTTCTCTGATGCACCATGAGCAGTTTGTTAAACCAGTCTGAAGAAGTTCATGAAAGCATGAAATGCAGAAAAACTAAATTCATTGCACCTACCATACAACCACGCTATCAATTAAATAATTCTTATTTTCCAGTTCATATATACGTAAACAAAAAACACTTTAGGCCACATTTTTTATATTTTGGATTACAGATCCACTGATTCAAAAAAAATTCTTTGCCAATTGAAACAAAAAATATACAATGTTTGGCCAATTTTTAATTTTGTATTTCCACCAAACATGACATAAAGGAATTGGCATTGTTGAAAAAGATTAGAGTATGAAATTTACCATTTACAATATCACTACACAGCCTGAAAACCGTCAGTTTCTCTATTAAAAGTTTCTCCATCCACACAATGTCCGCGTTTTTATGGAAATACGGCAGGCATATGGGCAACTTCCGTGGCTACAATGTAGCAATACAGAACAATACTGTGCCTGGTGAAGCGGATATTGTGTGTTTATCCTGATCGCAACCAGTTCAAGATCGGACAACTTCTGTATATTTTTCTCTTCGTATCTTTTAGTTCAAAAATAAATATTTTATTTGTGACATTTCTGCCCCAGAAGAAACATGAGTTGGAATTTCACTATCAAGTTTGATTTTGCCAGTTTGAACAGGTGCAGTTTTGTATAAACTTATCAATGCTTACAACAACTATATCATCATTTGAAATTTGAATACATGCAAATCCTAAACCTTTTAATCAATGTGCTTTATTTTCAGATTTAAGGTCTATCTACCCCTATCACATCAAACCAACCAGTGAAGATGGCATCTAATGTTACAGTGCAATCAGTATTGGAGAAGATTAGTGTGGATCATCTGGAATGCTCCATCTGCACCAACCGTTTCAGGCAGCCCAAACTGCTGGACTGTTTGCATAGTTTTTGTCTGCAATGCCTCCAAGAGCTCAGACAGAGCCAAGATCCTAGTGGTACAGAGCTGACATGTCCTCTGTGCAGACGTGAAACCATGTTGAAAAAGTCTGGGGTTGCTGATCTCCCTAATAACTTTGCATTCAGTGCCCTGGTGGAGGAAGTTGCAATGCAGGAAAAGCTACTGGAAGGTCAAGGGTCAAAAATTAAATGCCAAGCCTGTGATGAGGAGAATCAGGCTGTGTCAAGATGCACGGACTGTGATCATTTCCTCTGTCAAGAATGTCAAAAGGCTCATGAACGTTTAACCCTAATGAAATCTCACAAAATCTACACACTGGCTCAACTTCGATCAGGAGAGATTGTCTACAAGAGTAAACTAAGAGAAGAAGTTCCCAAATGTGGCAAGCATCCAGATCAGAATCTCAATGTCTACTGTGACACATGTGAGCAAGTCATATGCCTCACGTGTACTGTTCTTGATCATGGGAATCCAAAACATTCCCTCATCGGCCTATCTGAGGCTTTTGAAAAGTGTAAGAAAAAAGTTGAAGAACTTGTCTCAAAAGTTAGTAAGAGTAAAACAGAACTGAACACCACCATAGAGAAGGCGTGCACAACTCGCAAGAAACTTGACATCATGTTTGCAAACACCAAGAAGAAAATCTCAGAAATAGCTGACCAAGAGGTTGCCAAGATCCGACAGGAGGAGCAGAAACTGTTAACAGAGACTGACACGATTTACCAAGAGAGAATCATAATGTTTGATGCAGCTCAAGCCAATAACAGCAAAGAGGTGACCAAGACAGAGCACAAGCTGGAGGAGGTGAAACAAATCATGAATCAAGCAAGCTGTTATGAGATTCTTGAACTTCAGCAGAAGCTCTTGCATAACCTCAGTGAATTGACAGGGAAACAGCCACAGCAAGTTCCTGACAAGTTGACCTTCATGGACTTTGAAGAAGGTGAGAGGTCACTTGGGAGACTCATTCTGGAAGAAGAGCCAAAGGCTGCAGCTAAGCAATCACCAAGACCTGCAAGATCATGTGTGAAGGAGAAATGGGAACCAAAGACTGATGTCAAGAACTTTGGATGGTTTACATCCATATCACGTGTTGCAGCACACTCTAGCAATAATATACTCGCACTACAAGTATCTGATGTATTTTTGGAAGAACATGCACTATTCACAGTTTCAATTCCAAATAATCACCAGGAACAATCTTCATTCCCACAAAGGCTACAAATCAATGGCCTTACTGATGATGTATGGTGTATTGCAGTGAGCAAGGATGACAAGCTCCTTGCTCTAGATGGTTCAGTAGTCAAGGTCTTCAACAAGCAACATCAGCTCCTCCATCAGTTCACACCAGGTAGAGCCACTAGAGGGTGGAACAGCGCACCAACATGCCTTGCAGTGGATGACAGCAATCTGATAGCAGTAGGTTATGCAGGAACGGAGATATCTCTACACAACCCAGAAGGATCCCTCATCAAGAGACTGCCTGCTCCAATGATTGGATATTATCTGACAATGTACAATCACCGCCTTATCTACACAAACTGGCCTATGCAAAGGTTGGTATGTGTAGACTACTATGGTGCCAGTGTATTCTCAGTAGACATGACCAGCAACATACACGAGGATGGGCACCCTGCTGGTGTGTGCTGTGATAGTGATGGCAGCATCTATGTTGCTGTGTTCGGACATCCAGGTGATATTCTGCATTACAGTCCTGATGGCAAGTACATTGGATGTGTGATCAAGAGATGTGGTGATCCACGTGGCATCACATTCACATCAGGTGGTGATCTGGTAGTGGCTGCAGGAGAGTCTGTACAGATCTATCACCGAGTGTAAGGACAGATTAATTAAACTGGGGCTATCCAGTGTATCCACCAACCACTTCCATCGGACATTGATCATTGTTATCACTGACAAAGAACTTTAAAGTTCATTCCCTTAAACAACTTTCTACAATACTGTATATTTGGTTTATTTCTAAGGTCTTTGGTGTTTGCATGTGTCGACTCTTATACTTTAAGCCTACTTCCTATCAAATGCTAGATCTGGTGGCCCAATAATGAGAGCAAAGGAATGACCCTTCACATTGTTTGCAAATAACGCATTGTACATTTTGAAAGTATTATCAATGAGAGGGAAAGTGTTACCAAGAAAGGCAATTTAGTTCAATTTTCTCAGATTGTCTCAGCAAATACGAAGTCAATGCATAATGTGTTTTCCAAGTATAAAATATAACCCTACTCCTGTAAAAAATGTGAATATTTCCTTAAATTTTGTTATTCGATTTTTCAGTTATTGGGAAAATTGTCGAGTTTAAATTAATGCAACTTATTTTTTAATGAGAAAGATTTTGCACCTTTTGAACACGAGACAAAAGTAAATACTCAAAATCATGGATGAAATATGTGTGATTTTGAACTCAAACGATAGTTTAAAACTAAATCATATGCAATCCCGTGGTTGTCTCTTTCACAGTGCTTTCTGAGTGTCTCATCAAATTAACATTAGTTTCATTACATTTACAACCAAGTTGAAATGAAAACCTTGTGCATTCTACTGCAATGATACATGGATGTTTGTAAATGTGGTCGGTATGATGGATGTACATTTGTAAAATGAATTTTTTTTTTGCCCATCTCAAATGTGATTTTTTAAATACTACAATAGAAGGATGCATTGGAACATTTTATTAATTTGGGGTCTACTTTTTCCTGTCCCTATACGTCTGGCATCTACGATTTTGTAATTGAAGATGCACTCCTTTATGTGTGTATTCTTCCTCCAAGAATGCTTGTGAATCACATAACCTACCCAATAAATATTAATTAGTTTGAAGTCATTTTTAATGCCACTTGATTGGCAAATGATAATTTAGGAGGTTACAGGGACAAAACAAATGTCCGACTTTGGACCCTAAATGTATAGAATGACCTACTTGTGAGAGGTATATATCCATATCATTACAATAATAGTTTAGTTTATTCCATAAATGATTGAGGCTTTTACTTCTTTGAATAAGTATTGGTTTGCTACATGCTGATAGACCAAAAAGTCTAAATGAAGCAATGAGCATTTGCTTTAATTACAGAATATCTCTCCAAGAGAACGCAGCTTCCATGACAACAATGGCACTTCAGCCAAGATCCAAAGTCTGTTATTTACCAATCAGCATCTCACATACGTTTCAGCTGCATTTTCCACTGGGCATGTGTGACTCCTAGGGTTATTTGCATACATAATGAGGGCTGCCTATTTTACACCGATGATGTGACTCAAAAAGATATCTTTGTATTTTATCATTTAAAGACCACTTAATTTGGAAGCCGTTGTTATTGTATCACTAGTTAGTTCATTCACTGTATATTTTATCGAAGACATTTTTAAAAATGTTTTCTGAGAACATAGCAACAATGATTTCATGAAACAACCGTCTTTTCTCAGTTGTCGTTTTTTACATTTAGGACCATTTTGTTTTTGACAAAAACATAACATCAGTGGTTTCCCCAACATTTATACTTGTACATAATGGTAGAGGGGATTATCAAGTAATCAGATTTGTGAACACATTTTCTCTTGTTTTTTTTTATCTCCTGATTGACCGCATTTGAATATTGTCCAAATGCTCTCAAAATATATTGAGTATGTAACTATGATCTTAGAAAATTAGTCAGGCTTGTTAAGGTCTAGTACCACGTATTGCGAACAAAAACAAACAAACACTACAACAACACTGTTTACAGTCAGCTTTGAAAATTGCTCATTTTTATCGAAACAAAAAAAAATTTTGTAAAAAGAAATCTCTTGTATGTTAAAGATCACCTCATGTGGTTTTATGTTCAGTATTTTATTGTCCTGTGAAAACTTCAAATGTCTAGAAATCCTCAGCAAAAAAGTGACACATGAAAAATGATCAAAATTTGTTGAACTTAGCAACCACTTAATACGGGAAAAATCAGAACATGGAATTGTTTTTCCAAAATGAATGGGGCATGCCTATACAAACAATATTTTTGTAAATATTTCTTTAAATTACGGGCATAAAAACAGTTAAACTTGACATCTAACAAGTGGAAGAACTGATATCGTATCGTTGCCGAGGGTGGAGTCAAGTACCCACCACACCTATAGATAACTTATAAATATCACACATTCTATGGGAGTGAAATGTACGCGATCTGGAACTTTCTTAAGGTACCAGCAACATAACTAGGGTTAAGCTTCTAGGGGGCACCTGGGGGTTCACCATTTTTTTTTTTAAAGGGGGGGGGGGGGCAAGGAAGGTAACATATACATTTGTTGTGAGCAATTCAAGATTTCAAATGGAGTTGGGGGGGGGGGGGGGAGAGAGAGACACATGCCCCATAGTTACACCTTTGAAAGGTACACAGAAAGATGGAATTCTAACATCATATCAGGTTTAACAGTCCCTTACATATTTACAATGAAAACTAGTTACGAACCAATAAAATATTTGGATGGTATCAACCCCCTTTAATTGCATAATGTTGCAGTCCACTCTTTGTTTTATAAATTGAAATACAAAATGGTTTAGTAAGAATGAAGCCTTAACACTAGTCTGAGTATCACCCATTGTATCACCCTCTCCATCTCTGGTCCAACGTCTGATATATCTACGCATGCAAATGTATGCGAACCTGCGCGCTAGCCAATTGCAGTCGACATGACATCATTTAATTCTGAAATCTGGACTTAGCTGTTGATTGGTCAATTTTGATGCCATGTTTTTGTAATACAACAAGAGGCATAGAGATCTAAATAAAACGACATTTGCTTTCAAAACTGTTACCATATGCAAACTCTCATTGTGGGCGAGACATAATGCGAAAGAGGGCATCCACATTACGCGCGTTATTTAAAATATGATGTGATGATAATGCAAGGTCACATTCGCGCATCACGTAATATATCAATACAGGCCGCTTGACACAGGCTGTTTTTGTTAACAGAATTCACAATGTAAAAGCATAATAGATGTGATGTTTGGTTTTATTTAGATCGTGTACATGACAATAACGGGTTACTGATGACCCATAATTATATGCTTGCATATAATAGACCCCAGCTGTGAAAGGGATTTTCCATAGACTACCTCAGCACCCGTCCCCCTACAATTAAGAACAATTCGCAATGCAGTGTGAGTGTGCCAACAAGTGTTTGCCTCAAGAGGCCACTTTCAACTTAACAGTCTATTTAAAATTACACTAACTTCTACAAAATGAACTTACCTGTACATTGAAGTACATTGGGGAATCTGTTCTTGTGTTTGCAGACAGGTTTCTTGGTTTCCTCACAGTTGACTGCCACTGACATTTCATATAGCGCCTACATTTCAAAGTGAACAAATTGACAACACATATTACATGACTTTTTCTCTTTCTTGCTCGGACTTCAATTACAATTAACAATTGTTGACTGGTGTGATGTTGGATATGACAACACCCTAGGTGTGTATTTCACCTCTGGTGCTATGCACCCCGAGGAGGTTATAAACGGCATATCCCACATCACAGCAGTCAACAATTGTTTTGTTACATCGTATCAGAAAGTCAATATGATAAATGCTTGTAACCTACCCTGCAAGAAATATAAAAAATCAGTGTGGTGTAACCGGTGAAAACTGCAGGCGTACCCGAGACTGAGTGGTTGTGCATATGCATTGCACGCAGCTCAGTCCAGCACGCGTACAGGTCCTACACGCCGTCGCGCAACACACATTGTACATGTTTATGAGCCATTGTACATATGTTTTTATAGACAAGACATGTGGCCGTTTTCGACCAATGACATTACAGTATCCGAGCACACAATATAATAAACATATATCAAGTTATGTTTTGCTGGCTTAAACGTTTAGGCCGTCAGCTGGATGTTAAAATTCATTCGTTTCGCTCCAGAAATCTAGATTTTCTTGACAGTTCTACTGAAATACACAAAGAAAGAATGATATTGTAGAAGTTCTCCACATTTTGTCCTGCAGTTTTTGATAATTTGACTAGAAAAGCAAACTATTTGCTCATTGTGAAAGTTCAAAAACGTACCGCACTACGTTCAAAAAAATCCGCGTATGACACAATCATACCATGTGATGTGAACTGTCCAAAAAGACATCAGATAGGAGGTCGTAGGTCATGACACCCAACAAACATGGTGGCGTCCATTGCCGATGGTGCTCAACATTTGACGTAAACATCAACCGATGCAAATGTAAAAGTGTTTTAATGCATCTGTCAAGTTTGAGGGAAAACCAAAGGATCTAATGTCCGGGGTTATGATAAGTTCACTGCCAAAGGGGGACTTGCAGAGTTTCGACGTCCGTGTATAGTTTCAAATTGCACCTCACAAACATAAATTTGTGATGACTACATGTACATGATGATGTCAAGAATCCAACTACAAAAAAGACTTTAGAATTCAGCATGTTCTGTTTGCAAGATATGGCTTTAGGTTTAATAATTCATAAATTCATTACAAATCATATGATCATGTCACAGTGATGTCACATCGATCATGTATCGCGTAAAACATCCCGGTCTACCTACATACCAAATCTGAACCAAATCGGACTTGCAGTTCTCTAGAAATACATATACATGTAGGAACTTAAAATGTGCACCAATAGAGATGATGTCACGTGACCCCTGATGACGTCATGATGACGTCACTCTTCTGGAGATGAGTTCACTATGGAGTCTATACATAAGTTGAGTTTTATGGGAAACAACTTTGTCTTTATTATACCAAAAGTATTTGGTGGAATAAACCATGTACAAAGTATAGATGGTTGGAACATAATTGATAATTTTGTTCACGATTTA